TTGACTAATGGTCACTAAACACCACACATTATATATTGTATATTACAGTTTAGCTAAAATCGTGTTTCGGATGATATGTCGAGGTGTATCCAAATTTCAAGAGGGTGGGATGGACCATGGACCATTAGCATTCGGGGTCAGTATTTGATTCACTAGGTGCTAATGTCAAAGTTCATCCAGGGGTGGCAAGGTCACGGCCTCAATAATACAATCTCTCAATAACACAAAGTTCACGATAAAGTGTCCACAGAGTTCTGATTTCATCGATGATCCTACGAAACTATTCGCAACGTGCTGTCCATTTAATTCATTTATTTGTAAAATGATGTGTTTTGATATCATAAGAAATAATCTTAGAAAATTTTATTTCGTTTTTTTTTTTTTTTTTTTGGATAGAGTTTATACAACTGTGATTGATCTTAATGATTTATGTTTATTCACTATAGAAATTCTTTGTTTCCATTTAGGAATAATTTTTTTAAAAGTCATTGTCGTTTTACCCCATTGACCTGTTAAATTGTATTAAACACTAAAATTAAATGACTTGATGGCAACCACTGATTCGCTTCCACCTTGACTGAGATTTATTTAACAACACATTAGCTTCATATGAAAGTGCAGATCCACCAATAATCCGAAATCTTTGTTCCACCAGATCAATTCTCCTCCAATAAAGCCTGTTATTAACCAACTGACCAGCTACTGTGTTTGAACAATCGAAATATGACGCGATTTCCCTATCACCCGTTAAACTTTAACTGCCAATACTGGTCAAACGATTCGTGTTTATCAACGAAATTCAGAACACAGAAAGCCTTCCTCAAATGTTATACGATGGAAATACCAAGAAATGTAATTAAAAATCCCTGCATAGAACCGAACGATAAAATATAAAACATCAACCGTAATATAAATTCATTTTCATTTCACACCAAGAAGATCGACATGATGGGATGTGGCTATCATTCAACAGGTAAGACTACTTGTCGGCCAACAGGTAATAAATACCTGATCTGGTAGAGTTTGTGCATTAAGAAGACTCTCACCTTATTTCATAAATGTTGAGGAAAGTTTTGACCTAAACTCTGACCACTCTCAAATCGTATTAACACTCTTGAAGAGTTAGTCAGAAAACGGAATGGACATAATATGCTTGTCAATCATTCTACTGACTGAAATAATTTCAAATTGAAAACACCATCAGTCTAAACGTTAATTTAAAAGCAAAAGATCAGCTTGATCGTGAAGCATTTAACGATAAGCAAGATGCATTTTAGAATAATGCGAACTACTATAGTATTAAAAGAATATCTATAAAGAATCCCCAAAATATTAAGGGGGTGGATTCATGAAAAAAGGAAAGTTAGGAGTCGATGGCAACAATCGAGAGACCCTGCTGATCAAACAATTGTTAATAAAAAAATGCAATTTCTAAAAATTAGCTTGAAATAAATAAAAAAGAAACTCTCAAAAACTATTTGCACATCTTAACAGCAGACGCTAAAACCGACTATTCGGTATGGAAAGCTGCACGAAAATTCCAAATCCCACCTCTTAGAAAGAAAAAAAAATGACTGCGCATGGGCAAGAGATAATAAAGACAATTTGCAATTCATTGAAATTCATTTTGCAGATTCGTTTAAACCAAATCGCCTCTTAAATAATCCCTACGACAAATCAGAATGCGTAATTAAACATTTTACACCGAAGGAAATAGACAAAGAAATAGAAATGAATCTGAATTCTTGGAAAGCTCCAGGGTTGGACCTGATAACGGCAAAAAGATTGAAAAAACTTCCCAAAAAAGGAATTTTAAAATTAACGAATTTATTTAACACAGACCCTAATGTCTTGGATGTTGCTGAGATCATCATATTAGTAAAAGCACTTAAACCACCATACAAAGTATCATCCTACCGTCCCAATTATTCGAAATTTTCGAAAAAGCTTTGCTAAACACTGAAACCTTTCATTAAAGAACGAACAATAAACCATGCCACCAGATTGGATTCAGAGCCAAACACTCAACCTTAGATCAGAAACATAGAATAACTGATATTTTAGAGAAAGCTCTAGGAGATAAAAATATAATCTTTTTAAAAGATAGTTACTGCTCACAGTAAATTGTTTTCAACGACCGGATTTCGAGCCTACAGCTCATCATCAGTTTGAAGGAGCTCTACAACCACGTCTCTCGACGTGAATTGCAAGTCTGACACTCACTCCACCATTTATCTTTTCTATCGATAAAAATATATGTTCAGCTTTGTTCGTAGACGTATCGCAAGCTAAAAAATATATATTCCCAAAACAATATGTTGGCTTTTGACCTCCTATCTTTCGGAAAGTCTATTCCAAGTTTAACTACCAGCCGAATACTCTGGTTGTTTGAAATCAAGGCCAGAAGGTAACATCTTAGGCCTCGTGCAGCATACAAGTGACCTGCCACTGATGGAAAACCAAAACGACAATAGATAATAAAATAAATTGTAAAGCACATATCGAAAAGAAAAAATGTAGATTTCAAATACCGTCAACTTTATTGGTTACTGGGAAGGAATCCCGACTATCAATACTATGTATGGTATACAACTTTGGAGATTTGCCAAAAGAAGCAATACAATTATAATCCAATGGTTCGAAAACAAAGGTCTACGAAAAATGGTAGTAATGGTAGTAAAAAATGGTAGCAATAGGGACCTACACAAAGTATAAACATCCCGGACATCGACTCCGAGATCAGACGGTATGCTTATAAAGCACCACCTTCCTCTTCAAAGCCACCAGAACACCGAGGCCATCCGCCTGCTACGTAGTCTTAAGAGACTTAAGAGGACTAAACCATTTGAATTAGTTCTTTAGAAACGCAACTAGATAAGCTGTGACACTAATGGACACTAGTGGACTAAAGTGTATTTAATTCTAAATTAGTTATTGTCAAATTATTATGGTCTTACTCCACTAGTCCTAATATTTAAATGCATTAAAAAAAGTTCCATTTCACAATAACACGCAACCTGGTTCAAAAAAAGCCTAGAGTCGATTGTAAATTTTTTTTATTGCGAAAGGACAAGGATCAACATCCAATCAACGACTAATTAATATAACTGTGCTACGTAAAGGTGGGAACGTATTGTACCACGGACATTCTATTACATAAGATAATGTAATCGAATAGCCTGTGAACAGATGACTAAATTTATTGCGTGGATATCGTTTACGAAGGTACTGTTCTATTACAAGAATCAGCTTTATAATATAATACAGTAATATAAAATAAAATAACTGCATAATAAAAATAGTAAGACGTGGAAATTTCCGTCTGCCAGAGGTAGAAGAACACGGAAATAAAGCAACAAAACAATACTAAAAAAAAGGAGAAATGGGGGAAAAAATTAAAGAATATGAAAGTAAAGCCAAACATAATGAAATAATAAAATTAAATAAAATGGTTTAAACCTAATTAAAGGGGGCAATTCCTTAGCGACATATATATAGCACATAGGAATCTACCCGATATGGGAATTGTGTTTAAGTATTGGGAATTGATTATCGGATCCCCTGTTCCGATTTTTTGGAAGAAACAGAGTTGTTTTATTGTATATAGCTTTGCGTCCCTATCATGTGTTGAGAGTGAATGTATTTATTAGCGTGATTGTGTGGGGAATATCGAGTACTAGTCAGATAATAGGTATAGGGCTACTGGTGTAATAACAAGTACTCTACCACAAATTAAGAGTATGATATGTAAATAGGAAAGAATGTATGTAAGAATGAGAGTGCGAATGGGTTTGGATCTAAGAACTGCATTCGTTGGGTGCTGAATTGTCCCTGCTGTGGCACCACCTGGAGCCCAGCCGAACTCGGTGGCAGGACGGATAAAGCCAAAGTCTGATTCCGAACTACCAACACCCGGGTGATTCCCGAGGCCTGTCCGTAATTTATTGTAAATTAGAAAAGTTTGAATTAGTGGACAGCGAGAAGTACTCAGCTCTGCAAACGTAGGCATGTATGTGCGGATTTGAGCCCATATAAATCAAAATACAAATCGAAATAGTACAAACTTCAAGGATTCATTTCTCTAGTATAAATATACCTACCTATCCATGCGTGTTGGTAATATTTTACAAGTGGGGTCGGTTCAGAGTTTAGCCCAAGTAATTAGTTCATTCCTAGAGAGGGAAACTCCAACCTAGGTGAAGCATACGAATTCCTTTTTTGCATTTTGCTGAATAACAAGACACCTACCTGTCTGACCTTAGAGTTACATTGAGAGCACAGGTCAGAAGGAAGGCCCCTCCATCCAAGGGGTGTAATTTAGCCAAAGTAGCCCACACCTCATTTTAAAAACACGCAAATCACTCAGATTCAGATGCTGATTAGAATCAGAAAATATATGGCCATGGTGGTAATCCCTATAATAAAAAAAAAGGTTTGATGTCATAGCAAGCCTCACAGACTCGTCCCAATGACGGATTACCTTTTCAGCAAGACGTTTCTTTTAGGTATTATTAATCTTTAATTTTTGTGGGGTGGAATATTTAAAAAATAGAGAAAATAGTATGCCAGTTGTAGAACCAGAACGTGTCGTGTTTTATAATCTCAAGAGCAGTAATTTTTGGAAGCCGGGAATTAGGGAGATTAAGAATTTTCAGGACATACTTAAAGTGAAGCCTAAGGAATCAGGTTAATTTTATTTGATGCTCTGTAGTGTAAAAATACAAACTACCAATATTGTTATTATAAGAAAAACAAACGCTAATGCTTCATATGAAGTGCAGTGCATATAATTTAGATGTCGACAGATGAAACTACTCTCAGTTTAATAAATCTTTGACATTTTTGTTTTAAACAACAGCTTTAAATACTTGTAACATTGACGAAACATTGTAACATTCCTATATTTATTCACTCTTTTCTCACAAATATTATCATATTTTATAAATTGGTTATCATTTTTTGTTTTCATTATTCATCATCAACACAAATCGTGTTCGCAGATGTTTCATCAAGGAGCGATTTTCTATCAGTCCGCGCCAAGGAGGATCAAGGTCAGATCACTATCACTATTATTATTATTATTATGTTTTCATTGGTAGTATTAATTTTTCAATATTTAATTTTAATTTGTTATTCTGCACCAATTTGTTTCATTGATGAAGTGTTTTGGCAAAATAAGAAAGTAGGAAAAAAGTAGCTTTTCTAGGAAGAATTGAAGTTGAGTAGAGAAGAACATAAATTTATTAGAAGCAGGTTTTATGTTGAACTGCCTGCGCTCATCCCTCTTCTCGCTGAAGATGGATGGCGATGAGCTGACGCGACGTACGGTAAAATCAGATACGTAGTTGCCTTATGCACCACGCATGGGATTATTAATTTCATGCTTATGTTAATACGGCTTAACACAATTTTCATCGTCGAAATCATGGCCCATATTATGTATTCTACAGACGTTTGTGTCTTCGAGTTTCGGATTTCATAGGTTATTTTTGCCCAAAGCCCCGGCCCTGGCTAGGAAATAGGCGAACAATCCATGTGAACGTCGCCTCTTTCAAAAGAGGCGCCGTTTTGAAACATTCGGAAATTTGATAAAAGTGAATTAGTGCAAGTTCTCGACGAGGGCCGACAAATCATTTTGAATAATAACAGATTCGTGACTCGGTTATATGATTTCGGCCTCCATAGACATTTCACCCATTCAGAACCCTTGCCCATTCATTGTTTCATCACCTGGGATTTGAATTATTTATTAACAGAATCATAGAATAAGAAGTAAAAGAAGAAAGGTGGAACGAGGTGGCTAGAAATAAATAAACGGACAGAAGGAGTTCAAATTAAGAAGGTGGAGGAGTTGGAGAGAGAACCACATTCCTTGCGCTTTTCTACGGCCCTTGCCCTCTCCTAGGTTCCCCTTCTTTCAACTTAATCACATATTTCGCTAAATTCGTAAAATCAATGTAAAATATTATTTCCTTCCTTCCCGTATTATTAACATATTTCAGTTGTCACTTGGGCATACCATTTTTGCATTTCGTAAATCCCTCCCAAATTTCGTGCATCGTTTGGTTCTTTAATTAACAGCCACTTTTTAAACTTTACAATACAAAATTAGGAAACATTGCATGTAATAAGGGAGAAATTTATTAATTTTATCTATATTTTCTGTGCGAGTTATTTTTTGTCGTGTACTTAAATCGAAAACTACTTTTAAAACTAGTAATGTTTTATTATTCATAATATTGCCTTTTATAAAATATCGGAATTAAACTTTAATTTTTTATCTGACATACAAATTACGCCTACTCGGATCGTTTAATTTGCTTAATTATTTTTGCTCCCAAAACAATTTCTTTTTGTACGTACACACACTCCAGTTTGAAAACTGGCTATTGATTGGATATGTATTTAAACATTAGTAGCATCTGTTGGTCTTTCTAGCCGAATAAGTGTTTCCTTTATCAAAAAGGCACAAAAACTGCAACTTTTTGAGCGGGTAGGGGTGACCCCGATACCCAGTTCACACGGGAATACTTCCTTTCTTATTTTGCCAACCGTACACTTTCTAGCACTGAACATTTGTCGTTTTTATCGACACTTTTTATTTTTTATTTATTTATTCATTTTAAATCTCAAATGATCATTAAATCAAATGAATCCAACAACCGCTTGTGAAGATTGTTTAATACAATTTGGTTTTGCGGATATTCTACACAGAGAAACATTTCAATAGAGGCATAAGAAGAATAGTAGTTAGCTAATATTTTTGCCTATTTTTTTCATATGGAAAGCTGAATAATTTAAGATGATTTACTACTTACCGAACATATTTAATTAGTAATTACGTAACTAACAACAATTTATTTGTAGAGATTGATAGTATAATGTCACCTTTAAAAAATATGAAAGCTGGGCTCCCTCAAGGGTCTGTTCTGGGACCAACCTTATTTAACATCTTTATAAATGATCTTTGCAAGCTAAAAATTACAGCTGAACTCTCTTGTCGGTCACTATAGATAGGTGTTTTAAATATTTTGAAAAATGGAGAATCAGACATAATCAGACATAAACACACTGCCAATCATTCAAAATAAATAACTCAGCAATACCATGGGCTAAGATATTAAATGGAATATATCTTGATTCCAGATAATTGTAATTATTAACCACATTGAAAATAAATGCTCAAAAGCATGGACCATCTTAAGGAGCCTTTACCGTCTCTTTAACAATCCATCATGTATGGACAGTGGTAACAAAAATCTTATTTATGAATTTAACATACGTCCTTTAATCACTTATGTGCTCCCATGTGGGGAAATATGTCTAAATCGAATTTTGGAGTAGGTAGTCCAAAATGCTGCTCTATGAAATATTGGAGGGTTTCCATGTTGTACTCCGATAGACTGCATGCATATAATCATAAACATACCTACCTCAAAAACCCACATCTATTGAGTAATTGTAAATTTTTTTAAATTCATGCATAAATAGCCCATTTGTGCATACAAATTTTTTTTCTTATAATAGGGAAGACTTGAATTACAGTAAATACAAACAAAGACTTAAGCATGTATTGTTTAAAAAATAATGAACATGGGTTCAGTGGAAGTGTGTGTCTGCCAATGTACCTGGTTCAACCAATTGCTGTGATAAATAATGTGTAAATAGGTGTTGTGTCCTTGTCTGTTAGTTGATTTGTTGCGTATAGCACTTAAATGAATTTACTTGAATACTCTAGTTGACTTCTTTATTTATTAATTCATGTACATATCTAGGGTTCTTTTTAATACCTTTATTGTTTTGTATAATGCTTGTGTTTAAAAAAAAATTTTCTCCCTTAAAGAATTTTATGTATAATATAATTGTAAGATAAAACTCTTCATACATTTTATACAGATTAGGTAAAAAAAGGTGCAATAATGCCCTGGAACCAACTGAAGCAACTATGCAAACAAATTCATACAACTTAGGAAAGTACAAAACATTTTATATCTGTTCTTAAAAAGCAGTAGTGTACTAGTCGTCTGTCGGAACATTTTGATTGATTTGTTATTCAAAATTGGTTTGATTCAGGAATCAAGTAATAAAAAAAATTGTACCACAGTTGACATTTACTTTCACATATTTTTAATACATACACGCACTTTAATTCATATGCGCACACCAAAGAGAATTTTATTTAAATTATAATGATTTTACAAAAATAATATAATTTTTTATTTTTTTTATTGTTTATTATGGGGTGGAAGACAGAACGAAGGTATCAGAAGAAAGCCTGAATGAAAATTCAGTTCTATTGCCGCCGTGGGTTCAGTGCTTTAGAAACCTTGAATAGGACGACGTCAGGTATTCTAGGTCATGTAGATAAGTCCCCCGAGGTCAGAGAACTCGTGCAGTTGTGCCTTCCAAAATCGGGATAAATAAATAGTTTCCAACAATTGTTCATAGTGTATTTTAAATTGACGAAGGGCAAATAATTGGCAGTGGTTGTTGAACAAGAAGACCCCCAAGACAAGAACTTTTCACAATCATGAATATAAAATCGAATGCTTTGTTTAAAAAGTTTGTCTAAAAAATGCTTATATGTGGCAAACAAGCAACTGCGTTTTATTACAGGATTTTATGAAAATAGGAAGAATTGTATAAAGTTCGGTTTTGTCGGTAACCCGTGAGTTTGAGAGTTGAACTTTTGCGATTGTGCTAGCTGGGCCAATGAAGCGTTTAATATTAGATAGAGGAAGGGCTGGTTGCGGGGGTTTGAACGGCGAGATCTACCTGTCACGGGTATTATGTATGGGGCACGGGAATCCACGTTCCATTCAATAGTGGTAAAACGTCCCCTGGCCAATATTGGCATTGGCAATTTGTCTATGAAAAGCTAATGATTGACTTAACCCGACCGCAATCGTCAAATCAATGCCACCGCCAAATCTTAATCAAACGTTTTGTAAGAAGGGAATTACATTAAAAGGATTAAGAATATATAATCATAAGAATATTCTAGCCGCCTAAATAGTTGTACGTTAATGGCGAGTAGATTTCTTCAAACCTTGGAAGTTTTAAAAGTTCATTTTATTTCGCAAACATTTAATCAAGTTTTGTAATAATGTAAAAGAAAGGGAGAAAATGCGTCTGAAAGTCAGGGACGACAAGCGAGAGTAGGCGGACCCAGAGAAATAACAGTCACTCAATCATTCAACATCATCCATTCGGATCGCAAACAGTATAACACTTGACTGATAATGTTGTAGGACAATTTTGATTGACACTTACAACAGTATTAATTTATCCTTCAGATGTTTTTACGATGGCTAACAATCAAGGGTGATCGTACCAGTTAACCTTGTTAAACAATTTGACAGATTCTGTGACAGATGTTGGTACAACTATCACAAAAGCATTGTGTGCAACAATCCAGTGCACTTTCCTCACGGGTTTAATTAATCAGAAAAGCAAACAAATCGTTTTGGACATTAGTGCATAATTTACAGGACAAGTTCTTCGCAGGGGGCGGGTGTCTGAACGTTATCCTGCCGGGCAAAAGAAACCCCTTCCTCGTCCTCTTCTTGACCGGCCGAATTCCCTCAAGTAAACGTAGGCACAAGAATTCCAAACCCGCTATAGGAATTTTGCCCTGCCCACAGCGCCAGGAATTAGCTGTTGTAACACACCCTCTCATCTTCTGTTTTAATTAATATATTAAGTAATTAGTTAATAATTATTGTCATACTTTTGTGTTCGGTGGAAGAATAAATGGATAGTTTACTCATGTAGTACTCAAGGTAGTGTTAATAAAAGATATTCCGTTATTTAAATATGAGTATGATGTTTTTCTCTTTGTGCTAACGGGAAGTGGTGATAACTATTGTGAGGGCAGAACTCTGTGGTTTCATGTTACTAAGTGCAGATTTCTATTTAGAAAAGCTCGAACAAAGAAAATTGTAAGAAAAATATTTTTCTTTGTCGATAACGATAATTTATGGAATGCGGGTTATGACATCTTTTAAATCTTTCGACGGCCGTGTACTTATTTTTCTAAAGACAAAGGCGA